GGAGGGGGGGGGGGGGGGGGGGGGAGACGGGAGACGTCTGAGCTGGATCTGACAGCACATCAGTCAGCGCAGTGTTTGCTGGGATCACTGAGCTCCGGCTGATCATCTCCAGCTGACGGTGACGGTGACGGTGACGACGTCCTGTCAACCTCTGGTCGCTATTGAAGCTGCAGCTCTGTTGGGTCAAAGCTCCAGTGTCTGCAGAGGAAACCGTTTAGACACTTCTCTGAAATGAGGCCCAGATGCGTCTGGTCCAGACCGGGTCCACAACACAAGTCTAGCTCCCAGCCTATACGGGAGGGGGGGGGGGAGACGAGGGGGGTGAGACTCAGCCCAGTCTAAAATTACACTCCACCAAACTGTCATTTCCTCCTGCAAAAGACTTTCAATGGGACAAATTAGCACCGATGGCTAACACATGGGCCCCAAATGGGTCGCTCTCATTAGACACGTCTGTGCACGTACGTGCACGTACACGGGAGTGAACCGCTGAGGAATGTAAACCAACGTCTGTGTGTGTGTGTCGGTGTGTGTACGTGTGTGTGTTGCAGGGAGGCTGGACACACACTCACAGCAGGTGACGCAGCATCTGTTGACAGTTGACCTGTTGGTCCAAACAGCCTCGACTTTGTTCCAGTCACACGTGTCGGACATTCAGACACGCACACACACTCTTCAGACACACATGTCGTCCATCTCTTTAAAACAGAGTGCAGACATTAACCGTGGCCAATCACAGTCATCCGTTTCCCGGTGACTCCTGACTCCACCGGTGTGTTCCTCAGCAGTGACTCTGGGCTCGGCTCGCTCTCCCTGATGTCAGAGCCGGAGCCAGAGCCGCGAGCTCACTGCTCATCCCCACATACCAGCGCGGTGATGGATCGCTGCTTCGTGTTCCGCTGGAACCGTACGCTGGTTTTTTTTTCCACAGAACAACTGTCAGGTCTCAGCTCAGGAATGTTGTGTTGAAGCGAACAGGTCAGACACCTGCTCCCTGATAAACTCAGAGTTTAGAGACCGCAGCTCATTCTAAGAATAGTTCACTTCACAATCACCGAGACGCAACACCTCCAGTCTAAACACTCCTCGGTGTGTGTGTGTGTGTGTGTGTTTGCACAGGTGCACCATGGTCTTTTAACTGAACCCGTGTCTGAGTTTCATCTTTTCTGATTCTTTGGTTTGTTTAAGAACAACCGTTGACGTTCTCTCTCTCCCTCACACACGCACACACACGTGTGTGTGTGCGTGTGTGAGGGAGAGAGAGAACGTCAACGGTTGTTCTTAAACAAACCAAAGAATCAGAAAAGCTGAAAATCAGACACGGGTTCAGTTAAAAGACCATGGTGCGCCTGTGCAAACACACACACACACAGGGTCTTGTGTGGACCTCCACAGTCGGCTGACTGGTTTTCACCAAAGAAGTTCCGGCTGTGGTCACACAAACACGGTTTAGTTGTAAAGAGACTTTATTAATGAAGTGTGTGTGTGTTTGGAGTGAGAGAGTGGGAGAGAGAGGGAAGGTGATGTCTCAGACCTTGAGGTCCAGATAACTGGAGTGTGTGTTGTTTGTTAAACTGCGGTGGAACCATAGACCCAATAACATCACGTAAGGACCAGGTTGAGATAATCTGGTTTGTGAAGAAAAACACCGGTTCTCAGCTGTCCTCACAAAAGAACCTGTGAGGCCACGCCTCCACCAGGGGCAGTGTCACATGACAACCCGCTGCTTTCATGTTCACTTTATATTGAGTTTGTGTTTGGAAAGTTGTAGAAGGTCAGAAGGTCAGAACAGTCCAGACCATCGTGTGGTCGAACCCTGGTTTAGGTATCTTTGGTGAAAGAAGACGTTTTCTGGAGTTTTCTGGAGGAAGTGAATCTCATTTCCTTTCTACACATTTCTACAGCAGCAGATGCTGAGTGAAGTCGGCAGGAGAATGTTGGCTGCGTTTCATGTACTTAGCAGCTTAGTACGAGGAAAAGAAGTCAGTCAGGCAGACGGGAGGCAGGGAGGGAGGGAGGGAGGGAGGGAGGCGGGGGGGGGGGGCGGGGGAGGCTTGGGCTTTGTCTGCTCGT